ATGTGAAAATGGAGTTTAAGAAATGGTCTAAGCTAAGCTAGGGCAGTCACAACTGTTCAGTTGAGTTTCTAGTGTTGACTCCTCATGCTTCTAGAACATCAGCAAGGCCTAGGTGGTTGCTAAGTGAACAAGCTGACTGATAGTTCAGGCAGGGAAACCTCTCAGATCTTGGGGCTCAAGGATTGTAGTAACTCAAGGTTCTATGATCTGAGATGGCAGAGAGCAGGGAGGTGTGGGAAAGGAAACTCACCAAGGCATGTCTGGAAAAGCTCCTAGATCTATCTTCAGCAAGGGTCTTAAAAGAGAAGCTATGGTGGGTGTCAGAAAGTATGGGAAAGGGAGCTTACTAAGGCAGGTCTCAGAAAGGCTATGGGAGTCCTCCAATGGTCCTGGATGAGCTGAAATAGCAAGGGTAGAGTCCAGGGTCCTGTGTGAAAGGAAACTTGCAATGGCAGGTCAGGGAAAGGTCCTTGATTTGGGGGTCCACCAAGGTTTTAACAGAGCAGAGATGGAAAGCCAGGGATGTGTGGGAAAGAGAGCATTCTAAGATAGGTCTGCCAAAGTTTAGCTTTACAAATGACCAATGACTTCAAAGAAGATACAAATAAGCAGATGGATGGAGTTTAAAAAAATAGTATAGGCATGGTGGTGCACGCCTTTAATCCCAGCACTCGGGGGGCAGAGGCAGCTGGATCTCTGTGAGTTTAAGGCCAGCCTGGTCTACATAGTGAGTTCCAGGACAGCTGGGGCTACAGGGAGACCCTGTCTCAAAAAGACCAAAAAAATAGCATAGGATATGTGTGAGGGACTCTGCAAAGAAAGAGTCTGATAAAAATGAGCCTTTTTGACATTTTCTGAGAAGATGTGAAGAAATTTCTATTTTACACAGGGCACTGATAGAACACACAAAAAATGATTCTACCCATGTTTAGCATAATGAACAATAAGATTACTTAGGAGAAAATCTGTGAAGTGTTACTTAGGGGATCATGGATGTCTCAAAACAACTTCATACTGGAAAGTTCACCACAGGAAGGGTGAAGACTCGCATATCCTATATCCCTTCAACTTCTGCATGACTTTCAAGCAGCTTTGCTGATCAGAGGGTATCAATTTACATCAATTGTCACTGCTTACATAATACTTAAAAAAAGTCCTTTTGAGTCTTGTATGTTTCAGGAGATTCTGAGACTTGTAAAATTTGTTAATGTCCTAAGTCTTAATGAATCTCCCTCCTCCCTTCAGAAGGGAGTATATCGATTGTAGGAATCACTGCACAGCAAATGAAAATATGTTAAGTAAAAAGTAAATTATTTTAACAATACACCACACAAAGCAGAAAAACAAAAAGATCATGATTTAAAATGATATTAATTGTTGGGAGCTATTATTATGGGCACAGCCATTGCTGCATTAGGCTGTGGCAGCCTGCCTTGACTTAAGCATTGGAGAAAGAATGCCTCCACCCTGGGAGTTTCCCTGCTCTCTGCTTCTATGGTCTGGGTGGACAGGCTGTGCTTCCCTGATTAATTGGCAGTCTTGGAAACATAACTAAAGAGTTCTGTTTCAGTTTATGGACACCGGAGTTTCTCAGCACCGTTAGCTTGGTTTCTATATAGAAATAATAGATTATAGTAGTTGCTAAGAGTAATCACAAACAGTACACCTCATATCTAAGATATTATAAATATTATGTAGCTGAATCTTGGATACTGTAAATGTGTGAGTTTCGGTTGGTGAAGTAATGTATTCTTGGTGGTAACATAATGTATCCTTGGTTATTCCTTGGTTACTTTCTGTTTAGTGATGTATCCTTAGTTATTCCTTGGTTACTCCAGATCTGATTCCTATATAAGCTTGCTTTAGTTCACAATAAACATGCACTTTCACATAGACCTCTGCATTCCCTGCATCCTGATTTCTATCCGTTGGTGTCCCCAAGCCCTTCAGGCTTGGTTTGTGGTCACTGTACCGTGACAATTAATGAATGGTTACATTTATATAGTCACAGAGAAAGACTAATAAATGACAGTCAAGGCATTCAAAATATGGTGGCGTAATAAGAAATGTCCCCCATTGGCTTATGTATATGTAGTTAAGCAGGTGATACTCAGTCGGTGGCTCTGTTTTTGAGGTTTGGGAACCTTTAGGAAGTAGAATCTTGCTAGAGAAAGTCCAGCATGGGAGCAGACAATGAGATTTTGTGATTTTTTCCCCTACTTCCTTCTCTATTTGTTTCCTGTTATGGTTGGCATTTGATCTCTTGGCTTCCTGATCCTGTTGCCATGCTCTCACATCCACTTTGAACTTCTGTCTCTCTGGTGCTGTAATAAAAATAAACCACTCCTTAAATTGCTTGTGGTCTTGTTGTTTATTAAAGCCATAGTAAAGTGACCAATACATAAGAAAACTGGAAAAAATAAATGGCCAATGTGAATTTATGCTTCAAAAGAGGAAATTAAAATATAAATTAAATGCACAGGAAACATACTCAGAAAAACACAGCAGAAAAATTCCCAAACCTGGGGAACTATGTGGACATTCAACTACAAAAAGCATTGAGAACACCAAAAAGTCCCTACCAGAAAGGAATCTTTCCATATAATATTATCAAGAGTACAGAAATTAAAAGGAAGCAACATCTATACTTCAAGAAAGAAGAGTCAAGTTATAGGAGAAAATCCATCAGAGTAAGGAGTCTCAGCATAATTGTTAAATCTCAGGACATCATGCAATGATGCTTTAAAGACACCGAAGTATACAATAGAAGTGGAAAGATCTGTCTCCCATGCTTAAGGACCAAAAAAATTAATACACAAACTTTACTCTGTAAACCTTAATATACATGACAGAGTCCATGAAATCTGACTGCAGGTGGGGGCTAAAAGAAGACTACAACTAAGACAGGGAATCTAAATATGATCAAGATATATTGCATGAAATTCATAAAAGTTCCATAAAAAAGAAAAAGAGCAAAAGAAGTGGAAGAAACCCTCGAAAATTGTTTCAAATAGATTATTTAGGACGAAACATCAAAATTATTGCACCAAAGGTCAATGTTCCCCCTAAAAATGCTTGGGGTTATAATACATTGACAGTTACGTAGCAATCAATGCAGAAATATGTAGTGTCCATGAAAGACATTTTACTGGCAATCCCTACATTGCAAATTCTATTTATTCAGCACAGTTGTTCTGTAATAATTGGAACTCTTTATATTTCTACAGAGAACATTTTCTAAGTTTTCTATTACATTAAAATTGAACTTTACAAAAATAGTGTCTTTGATGACAGTTAAGAGATGTATCTGTCTTTGGGTAACGTAACAAATCATTAAGGATTGGTTTAATACTATGTCTATTTTGCATAAAAGTAGTTGTAGGCTCTCCCTTAGGGTTTATTGCCTAACTTTGAGAGTTTGGGCTACAATACAGGTGCCTCATAAGGGTTTAATCTCTTGGAATGGGCCTTAAATCTAACTGAGGGCGGTTGGTCACTCATTACTTTGTGTCACTATTTTACCTGTGGGCATATCTGGCCAAGCCAGTCATTATTGCAGCTTAGAGTTCACAGCTGGGCAAGAATGATGATTGCTTTTCTCTTCTGGTAGTTTTCCTAGCACCTTGAAACACTATGAAAGCTAGCCCATGGGGATGAGGATTCCAGGTCAGTACCAGCTTTATTTCTCCATGTTCTGTGACTGACGTGTGCAGTGTCTTCAGGAATATGGCAGTCCCATCAAGTTCTGGACTTCCAAGATCTGAACTTCCTTATTTCATTCAGATTTTTGTTTGTGTTCTCATAGAGTGCATTCATATTTTCATTGAGTTCTTTGAACACAGTTTAATTATTCTTTTAAATTCTTTTTCTAGAAGTTCTTCCAAATCAATCTCATTGGAAGGTACAAATATGGGATATTAATGATTTTTGAAAAAGACATGTTATATTTATTTTTCATGTTGATTTTATTTCTGAGCTGAAACTTGTACATCTGGAGGTAGTTTGTTGTTTGTTTTTATTTATTTCTTTAAAAAATATTTATTAAAGTTTTTAATGACATTTTTATTGATTATTTGAGCATTTCATATACTGCACATTGATTATATTCAGATCTCCCTTCATCTCCTCTCAGATTAATTCCCACCCCCCTACCTAACCTCATTTCATGTTCTCTCTCTCTCTCTCTCTCCCCACACACACACATAGTTCTTTTTCTTTCTTTATATTTATTGAGTCTTTGTAAATTTCATACAAGTGTTTTAATCAAATATAGACACCCCCTCCCATCCACACCCCTGCAGCTCACCCCCCCGATAGGTACCACGCATTCTGTCGTACATGTCAATTTCTATCTAGCCAAGCATTTTACCTAGATGCACCTCAGTGGGTGCAAGCCCAAACACTGGAATCTATTAACCCCATCTAGAGATTTTTATTCTAATGGAATTCATGTCCTCCAAAACCAGCCCTACAGAGAATACCTAAAATAATATGAAGGACCGAAGAGAGGAATGAATATACCCAAGAGATTGCAGAAAGAAGACAAAGGAGGGTTTAATTACAGAAATACTAAATAAGACCAAGAACACAAAGGAATTGAAATTACAGTAACAAATACACGTCTTTCAATAATAACTCTAAATATCAATGGTCACGATTCCCCAGTGAAGAGACACAGGCTAGTGGAATGGATTAAGAAATGAAATTCATCTTTTGCTATCCTCAAGAAACTCACCTCAACTTCAAGAATGGGCACTACCTTAGGGGAAAGGATGAAATAAATATTCCAAGAAAATGGTACTAAGAAGCAAGCAGGTGTTGCAATGCTAATATTTGAAATAAAAACAAACTTCAAACTAAAACTAAGCAGAAGAAATAAAGAGGGTCACTTCATTGTAATCAAAGGAAAAATTGACCAAAAAGATATTACAATCATGAACACAGTTCAAGTAACAGGACTGTTTGGATCATGCACAAACTTTGAAAGATCTTTGTAAGTATTAAGTATTTCTCTTGAAATCCACACAGTAGCTACTCAATGTCTTTAAAGCAGTTTTCATGTCTTTATTTCTCAGTGTATATATAGCTGGATTTAGGACAGGTGTAAAAGCAGAATAAAACACAGCAAGGAACTTGTCCATCCAGGTGATGTTGAGTGGCCACACGTAGATGAAGATGCAGGGTCCAAAGAAGAGCACCACCACTGTGATGTGGGCAGAGCAGGTGGACAGGGCCTTGGATGCACCAGCTTTAGAGCTTCTCGACACAGTGACAAGAATATGTGAGTAGGATATCAGCAACAAAATAAAGCAGGTCACTGCCACAACTCCACAATCGAGGTTCAGTAAGATGTTCAAGGTGCTGTAATCCATGCAGACCAACCTCATCACTAGTGGTCTATCACAGAAGAAGCTGCCTACCTCCCGGGGGCCACAGAAAGGCAGCTGCACAATCAGAGCAGTTTGACTTATGGCATGCACAAAACCGATAATCCAGGCAGTCCCAACCAGCACAATGCACCTTTGAAAGCTCATTATGACTGAGTAGCGGAGTGGTTTGCAGATGGCCACATAGCGGTCATAGGCCATTATCACCAGTATCACCATCTCTAGTGCTCCGATGAAATGGGAGAAGAAGATCTGGGACATGCAGCCTGCAAAGGAAATGGTCTTGTGCTTCCTGAGAAAGTCTGTGATCATCTTAGGTGTGGTGTTTGTGGAAAGCCACATGTCAACAAAGGACAGGTTGGCCAAAAAGAAATACATGGGGGAGTGGAGACGGGGTTCAGTGATGACTAAGATGACAATGACAACATTTCCAGACACAGTGATCAGGTAAAGCAGGAGAAATACCACGAAGAGTAGGACCTGTGCATTCCATGACTGACAGAATCCCAGAAGCACAAAGTCTGACACGGCAGAATGGTTTCCTGCAGTCATGCTGCTCAGCGTCTCCTCTAAATCAAGTGTGAGAGACGATTCATTATCAGTTAGCAGCGTGGGACAGGGTAGGGGATTGTTGTGCAAGATTTATTTATTTATTTTTAGGTGTACGTATGAGTGCCTCTATGCATGTGTGTACCACATTCATGTCTGGTGTCTGCAGAGACCAGAAGCGGGAGGTAAATCCCATGTAACTGGAGTTACAGACAGTTATTAGGCGTATGTGGGTGCTGGGAACATTTAGCTCAGTCCGTTTTTATGTGCACACTTTTGAAGAGAAAACTTGACCAGTTATGTTTTGCATTCTACCCAAATGCAAACCTGAATGCCTAATGTTTGCTCTCAGAAAGTGGATTCTAAAATAGGGCTTAGACAATAGGGCATGGCTAAAGCAGAATAGAAAGTCAAAAACTGAAAAAAAAAACTGTGCTGCATCCACACTCTAACCCCGAATCACTATTCTAGGAAAGAGAATTTTAGGTAAGGCTCAACCAACAACCATTGCAGTAAATTAAAAAATGGACTCATACATTTAGGAAGATGAGTGTGAATAAATACTTAAATCCAGTACAAATAACAAGATACATTATTGTTTCCTTGTCTTATAAATAATAAATCAAGTGTGAGAGATGATTGATTATCAGTTAGCAACATGAGACATGGCAGTTGATGGCTGTGCATGATTTATTTATTTTTATTTTATATGTGTGAGTGCCTGTATGTATGTATGTATGTATGTATGTATGTATGTATGTATGTCTGGTGCCTTTAGAGCACCTGTGCATGCAATGCCCATAGAGGTCAAAAGAGGGCTTGGATCCCCTGGAACTGGGGTTATGGAGATTGTTTAGCTGTCATGTGGTTGCTGGGAACTGAACTCAGGTCCTCTGCAAGAGCAGCCAGTGCTCTTACCTGCTGAGCCATCTCTCCAGCTCCTGATTATTCATTTTAATTGTAGCTTGCATTGATTGTATTAATTTGTATTGAAATTTCATATTTCTCTGAGGTCAATGATAGATAATTTTTATTTTTCATTTTTTAATCTTCCTCTAGACATAGTGTTAGATTTTGTTTCTGATCTTTTGTGCTTTGAAATTCCCCAAGGTGACTCCTAAAACAGCAGGTGGGAGATCAAAATTGCTACCATCATAAGCATACGTTCTCTTTATCTTATCGAGATCATTAGCATAAGTTGTGCTGTAAGAAAGAGAAATGTTATGTATAATTGGACATATGTCAATAGTCTCACAACTTACAGAAAAGCACACCCATTTATTCCTAATTTCTATAGAAAATATTCTGATGTTTTAGTCTCACTAAATTAATAATTTATGGGACACTTGAATAAGTTGAACTTTTTGTTTTGTTTATTGTTTTAAGACAGTGTCTGGAACTCCTTATGTAGACAGGGGTGGCCTGGATCTCACAGAGATCAACCTGCTTCAGCCACCTGTAGTGATTGCTGGGACTAAAGGCATGTGCCACCTTGTCTGACCTTCGACCTTTACTTTAAAACTCTTCCTGCTCTTGGAAATATTTCCAAATTCCTTGCTAATTATTAATAGCTGTTGAATAAGTGACAAAGAAGATCCTCATCACAAAGCTAGACTCCAACAGTGTTTAAGTGATAGATTTCATGAAAGATGAATCTGAACCTAATAAAAAATTCACAAATAAAAAATCAAACTCCTATTTAAACTTATTTTCAAATTGTTAAAATTCCACATAATTAGGAGAATTATATTACTCTGTGAATAATCATCAGTATTTATTTAAATTAGTAGAAGAGACTTTTGGTTAGATTGAGTCAAACCTAACTCTAATACTCAATGACCTTGAAACCTACAGCTAATCTGATGATTATTTCCATTTGCTCATCTGTGAAAAAGAGGAAACTCACTCTTATAGTTGTGTTTGAAGAATAACCAGAGAAAATAAAAAGCATTTAAGCTGTTTAGTTCTCAGTGCATGTCATTAAATATTCTCTTTCTTTTTAGTAAGTTGTTCTTTGAGAAGCTATTTATAAAGCTTACTGAAAAATATTTTAGACTTGGGACTTTCTCTAAATAGATGATGCTACTGTGACTAGGTCCTAGAAATATTTGATTTGCAGAATCTATGATTTCACCCTGGTCTGTGTCCTAAAGAGGGGGAGTTAATATTATGAGGACATAAAGGTGCAATAGGGTGTTCACTTACTGTGACTTTGGAATTCTAACCTGTAACAAGTGAGTGTCACAGAAGAGAGGAAAGGTTCATTGTGGAATTGGTGAACTGAACAATTAGAGAAAGGAGAGAAATTGCCGTAGCTTTAGTGGTATGAAAATAAACATTTTTAAACCTCTTTACATATAAAGTAGCTACACAAATATTTTTCTGTGATATTAGCCCTGAAATTCTGTGAATTTCTCAGTTTTCAATTTTTACAAAGGGAAATTTGGACCAAAGTATTTAGTATATTACACTAACTGGGCTGTCTTGTGGTGGGGCTGGGTGGCAGGGGTTGAAAGATTATGCTATTATTATTTTGAGTTGGGTTTCAAACTAATTTTTTTTTAGTAAAATCACTTCTCAGTCATCACATAACACCTCATTTAATTCTCTGTTCCAAAAGTTGTATTTCATACATGCAGGCAATACACTCAAACACATAAAATAAAAATAATAAAATATTTTTTTTAAAAGTTGTCTTTCATGATACACTCACTTAGAAATCCTCTTTAGACAAGCCTTCATTTTTTTTCAATGTGTCTTACAACTGTTGTTAAAATATGATAGAAATTCTATGGTAAAAGACGGAGAGATGGAGAACAATCTCCAAACTTTCTACTCTAAGTATCAGGTGCTGAACAATTCATTTTCATGCTTGGTCAGAGTGAGCACACATGAAAGAGTCACAGGGACTCCTGAAAATTACCTTAAACACGAAAGCCCGTGAGGTGAGACAACGTACTGTCATCAATTCCTTTTCTCTTAGATTCTCTGATGGTCTTCTTTATTGATGAGTAAGTACAGGGTGGATACACCCCGAGGAAGTGCTTTTCATTAGCCTGACAAGTATTCGTCACTGGAAACACATCCCATGGGTTCAATTTTTCTGCTCTATGTCTGAGTAGAAGAGAATATACCTATAATTTTCCTTGGACATCTCTTGAGAACTTGTTGAGAGTGATGCCAACTGTTGCACATTCTGGAAATCAGACTAGGGAAAAAATAATACCTCACTGAATTATGGCTAGTATCAAAAGTATTTGTTTCAAAAATTAGTTTTATCTGTTGATAAGTACTAAGATGTATCCTTCAATTTTGATTTTACAGTTGATCTAGGCATGCAAATCAGTTGATTTGACTGAAGTTTTAGTTGTGAATGCTGGACAGATTGTATCTCTGACCATTAATATCTGGTGACTTCTTGGTTTGATACATGCGCATCACCAGAGACACCTGATGTGAATGTGATGTGACAATGCATGTATGGTCAGTTAAATATGTTGGTAGTCTCAGTCAACTGACCTCTGTTTCCATGTCCTGTGTGATTAATGGAGGTTCTTTAGGTTTATACATTGGATATTATATTATAAAGGAAGTTTTTTTTAAAAATAAAGATTAATTTTACTTTAAAATATATTTATTCAATTTGATATCTATCATCTCTCTATCTCTATCTATGTATCTATTTATCTATCTATCTCATCTATCATCTATCTACCATCTATCATCTATGATCTGTCTATCATCTATCTATTATCTATCTATCTATCATCATCTATCATCTATCTATCATCATCTATCATATATCATCTATCTATATCTATCATCATCTATCTATCATCTATCATCTCTATCTATCTGTCTATCTATCTATCTATGTATATATCTTTGTATCTATCTACAATCTCTCTATCATCTATATCATCAGTCATCCATTTATGTATCTTGTATCTATCTATCTATCTATCTATCTATCTATCTATCTATCTATCATCTATCTATCTATCTATCTATCAATCTATCATCTATGTATGTATGTACGTATGTATGTATGTATCTATCATCTACCTATCATCTATCATCTATCTAGCTAGCTATCTATCATCTATCATCTATCTATCTATCATCTATCTACCTATCACTATCTATCTATCTATCTATCTATCTATCATTCTATATCTATCTATCATCTATTAATCATCTATCATCTATCTATCTATCTATCTATCTATCTATCTATCTATCATCTATCTGTCTCTATCTATCTATCTATCTATCTATCATCATCTATCTATCATCTATCTTCTTCAGCTCAGGGCTCACTTACACCTAATATCATTCTTTTCCTTCCCTCTACATAGTTCCTCCTTGCAGCTAACCACTAACCTCTGCCAATTACTAGCTGTTAATTTACATTTTCAGTTTTTTTAACTTTAAAAAAAGTCTTGAGCATTTCATATATGCCTATTCGGTATTTTGATCCAATCCACACCCACTCCCTCCCTTCCAACTCATCCTATATCTCCCTATCACTTTTTCCTGAAGACTTCCTGTACTCTTCCTTTTTTAATGGGGGTTTTGCTAATCTAACATTCCACCCCTGAGGAAGTAACCCTAAAATCTTTTAGGGATTAGATAAGAGCTCCCAAATTCTTTTGACATTTTTGGCCTTTGTAACAGAGTATGTTGCTAAGAAGCCCAAAGATATTTTGAACTGTAATCAAGAAACTGGGTACTTTTCTTTGGGGGTCTTTTGACCCTAGTTGCCTAGCCAGTTCTTACCTCCTATTCTTATCACACCAGCCTCTGAAGAGGTTACCCAAATTGCTAATGAGGAATTGGGACACAGATTGCTCTGGCTTCTTCAATGCTGAACAGAGACTTTGGGTGAGGCAAATGTGGTACCCTTCAGTGGGTCTATCTAAAAGACTCCCAAATTGCATAACTCTTATCTGCAGGGGGTAAAGTCATTGACTGGTGAACTGAAGATGGGAAGGAGAAGTGAATGA